TGACGGTCGCGCTCCTCACAGGTGCCACGGACCCACCCCTGCCCGGGCCGCCCTCTGAGCCAAATGCAGAAACTGACGCGTAAAGTACTTTTATGGGAATTTGACACGGGAACTTGCTGCCTGATGACTTTAATAATAAAACGAATAGTTTGGGACATTCTTGGTTTTTAAAATTTTTTTTTATTGATTTCAGAGAGGAAGGGAGAGGGAGAGAGATAGAAACATCAATGATAAGAGGGAATCATGGATTCGCTACCTCTGCACGCCCCGCACTGGGGATGAGCCGCACCGGGCCTGAGCCCCGACCGGAACCGTGACCTCTTTTTGCTCATCCACCCAAGGGTCTTTTCCCATTGATTTTTAGAGAGAGTGGAGGGAGGGGAGAGACAGAGAGAGAGAAACATCGATGTGAGACTCATCCATTGGTTGCCTCCCACCCTTGCCCCGACCAGGACAGGGGATCGAGCCTGCAACCGAGGTACCCATCCTTGACCGGAATCGAACCCGGGACCCTTCAGTCTGCTGGCGACGCTCTAGCCACTGAGCCACACCAGCCAGGGCGAACCCGTGACCTCTTGGTTCATAGGTCAACGCTCAGCCACTGAGCCACGCTGGCCGGGCAGGGCCCAGGACTGTCCTCGAACGACCGCATCCCCATTCCGGCGGCTCCTTCCTGAGAGTCATCCAGGGCAGTGTGCTCACCCTCGGCTGCTCATCAGAGTCACCTGGGAACCTTTTAAAATCCTGATTTCTGGGCCTCGTCCTCCGGAAATGCTGTTTCTTTGTTACTCATGTTGTGGCCTCACCCCATCACACAGAAACAGCATTTCCGGAGGATGGGGCCCAGAAATCAGGATTTTAGAAAGATTCCCAGGGGATTCTAATGTGCGGCCAAGGTGGAGAACCACTGGTCTAGGGAGGGCATCAGGGCCTCAGACCTGGGCCTTCATCCCAACCCTGCCTGCCCAGCCGCTGCCGCCCCGGGGCTGTGTCCGGGTGTTAATCACCCTGGGCCCGGACCTTCGTTACTATTTTTATTAAAGAGCTTAGGAGCCTCCATCATTAGAGCCCCCCCCTTTCCCCGCCCCACCGCCCAGCCCCGGGAGGGGCCCGCGCTCCCTGCGCCACGGCTAACGCTGCCCGTCTCCCCGCAGCTGCAGTCCAGCGACTGGGACTACTTGGTCCCCAGGACAGAGCTGAGACCCGGGAAGCCTGCTTCCGGCCACAACTACTTCCTGGTTCATTCCCAGCAGAAATGGACCCACGTCAGACTCAACATTTTCCCAGGTGAACGGGGCGCGGCCATCTCCATGGCCATGCTTCCGCGTCAACGTTGGCAGGTTCAAAACATCAAATGCAGTCCCCCTTCCTTAAAAAAATATTCTTACTGATTTTAGGCAGCGCCTCCTTCCCTCCCTCCCTCCCTCCCTCCCTCCCCTGCATTCGAACCTCAGGCCCTTCACTCCCCGGATCAAAGCTCTAACCACTGAGCCAAACCAACCTGCACGCTTCTCCTCTCTTTTTTTTTTAGGGGGTTCCAATCACCTTTTTTTCCTGCTACATTCATCCACGACCACTTGTTGAGGTTCTTGAGGCCAAAGCACTCACATTTGCCTCTTGTTGATCCCTGAGAGAGCAAAGAATTCGACAGGGTCCTGTAGTTAAATTGTGAAATCCCTGCATGAGAGAGAGAAAAAGAGACTATGTCATTTTTTTCCATGTCTCTGATATTCAGAAATATCCCCCCAAGAAAATTGGGGAGAAGAGGCAGGGAGTGAGGTTGTGTGCCTAGCTCCTGGGAAGCCCTCTCAGACTCTGAAAGGATCACAGGAGAACTCCCCGTGGACTGAAAGGCGTCTGGTCGGCCTCGGTCCTGAAGAAAGTCTGGGCTCAATAGTCCTCTTCCAGAGAGCGGGGTGCCTCACTGAGTGAAGACGTTGCGCCGTGTGTATGTTTTCCATCCCATTCCTCGGACCTCATCCTCTTGGATTTCTTCTCCCAAAGCCAACTGAACAGTCGTATCCCAGACTCAGGCTCCACAACCAGGTTCCTCTGTTTGCTCTAACACAACCCCTCCACTGAAAACTGAACACAACTCAGGAAGGAAGACCTGCACCATAAATGGCACCTGTGAACGCTCTGGAAATTAGTCCGTTAGACACATGATTCTTTTCTGAGGTTGTTTATCTTCCTTCTAAAGAACTCACAAACTCAATGGTGACTTGAAACAGAACCAATGTAGTCCTGTCATTAGACCAGGAGGGTTTTATTCTCCCTGGGCCTCTGTCAGGCTTTACATGGATGCTGGAACGTATCCCTCTGCACACAGATCTCACTTTTAAACGAGGTTCTTATATTTCAAGACCTTTTACAGGGGAAAAATATTAGCCCCCCTCTAGACAGAGCTCGTGGCGGGAAACTGAGTCTATTTATCTCCAAAGATTCAACAACTTCCTCCCAAGTGTTGGGCCCAAGCTCTTGTGGCTCGAGGAGGAGGTGGGGCTCAGAAGGGGGCCATGACTTGCTCAGAGTCATTAGCTGGGCTGGTGTGTCACCGTGCACGTTCGTTCTTCTCATCGCTATGGGTGCTTTCCCTCAAAGTGAGACCCAGACTCGGGTTGGAACAAGAATTCCTGTCCTGTGCTCCTCCGAGATACAGCACCCAAGACCATTACAGTGTCCAGCTGTTAAAAAGAAGGGTCAGTGATGAGAGAGCATGACTGATCGGCCGCTCCCGCACGCCCCACACTGGGGACCCAGCCTGTGCCCTGACCGGGACCGAGCCGTGACCGGCTGGCTCCTAGGCGGACGCTCAGCCCCTGAGCCGGGCCGGCCGGGCGTCACCTCTCCTTTCTTGGTCGCTGGGACCTCAGCACGTCAGGGTTAGCGTTTGCCCTTCGTGTTCTCTGGGAAATTCTCCTGTTAGGCTCATCCACGGGGACTGGTCAGACGTGATCAGGTCCCTCGGAGGTGAGGGAACCCCGCTGTGTGAGGCCGGGCCCCAGGATCGATGGCACAGGCGTGTGCGCGCTGAGGCGGGTGTGCAAACCCTCATTATTTCACTCATAACAGCTGCACTGTCAGCCACACACCAAGCAACTCGCCCATCACACCGGCACCACAGTGCTCGTCTGTGCGGTGTGAACGTACGGTGCACGTGTCACCGCACCAGAGGCGGCCGTAGCACATCTTTGTCGTCTCAGAGAGAAACCCCATGCCCGTCCCTGCCTCCCTCCCGCCCCCGCCCCAGCCCCGGCAGCCAGGCACTGCGCTCTGTCTGGAGGGATCTGACGATTCGACGCTTCGTAGGAGGCTCTGGAGTCAGTGTGTGGGGTGGGGTGGGGGGTGGCGACACCTCACCTGGGAGGCAGGCAGGGGCCAGTGAGGGAAGGAGACGGCACTGGAGGTGAGGGGCCCCTCTGAGGCTGCGCCAGGCCAGGGGAGACCACAGGGCACCGAGGCCTCATAGAGTGGGTGTGAGGGCTTCTGTGGTCTCTGAGCCTCAAACGGCTGCTTTTCCAACGACGAGCTGACGGGCGCCCCTTCCCTTGCAGACGGTGGGGTCGCGCGCCTCCGGGTGTACGGCGTCGGACACAAGGACTGGGCGTCCGCCGACCCCACAGAGCCGGTGGACCTGGTGGCCATGGCCAGCGGGGGCGCCTGCGTGGGGTTCAGCAACGCCCATTTCGGGCACCCCAACAAGATGATAGGTGAGAAGACGCCCAGGGCTGGCGTTTATCCGGGTGTCCGGGCACCAGGGGAGACCCCCAGTGTGGTGTGAGGGGCCGCCTGCCGTGGATGAGGCCCAGCGTCCGTCTGTGGGGCTGGTGCCCTTACGACGGGAGGTCAGCTGGTTCCGGCTTAAGCAACTGGGCTGAAAGGAAACGGACAACTCACCCCGGGGCGCTGGCGACGTGGCTGAAACACGAGCTGAGGGAAATGGCGGCAGCAAGGCCGGGCGGCTCCCTCCCCCGTGGGCCGTCCTC